AGAAGGAGAGGGCCACCCCCTCTCCTTGTTGTCCTTAAAATGGACCATTTTTGGCCTCTTGAGAGAGCACCTAGCTAGGCTTCATGTTGACCATGCCTTAGTTGTTTTTTGTGCTTAATATGTCATATTATGCCTCTGTTTTTTGTTGGTTTTGGTACACCATGCATGCTTAGCATACCTACCATGTAATGCCATGTTATTGCCTCAATGTGCCTTAGGTTGTTAGCTTTGTTTCTAGCATGTTTTAGGCTTAGTCTTGTGAAGCTTTTGTGCATATTTTGCCATGTTTAAGGTTTGTCCTAGGTTGTTTGGGTCGGATTTGGCATGCTTAATATAGCCCCTTTGCATTTCGGCTTGTTGGCCTTAAGTGTGTGAATGTATAGCATGACATTTTTGCATTGATTTGGTGATTTGGAACCATCCACCATGTCATTTCAGTCCCATTTGCATGCCTATTTGTTTACCTTGGACGCATCTTTAATGCTTTGGAAGCTTGTGTAGTATGCTCCATGTTTTGGCCATTGCACATGCCTTTGAATTCGAGCCATTTAGATGCCATCTAGGAGGCTCCCTTTGCATGGGCTAGGTCTGTCTTGAACCTATTTTAAGTCCTCTTAGCCTTGTGAGGCTTGGTTGACTTAGTTATGGTTCAAGCCCCTTTGACTTGCTTCAAGCACTTAGGCCATTTGTTGCATGTTTGGCTTGATTTGTTGCTTGATTTGGCTCCATGTTTTAACATGATTTTCAATGCTTATGTTGCATGCTACATGTCCATGATTGCCTCTTTCAATTGTGTTTGAGAGTTGCCTCATTTGTGCCTAAGTGTTGGCTCTCAATTATGCGCATGTGTGTATATGTTTTGGTCCTTTATTTATAGCACTTTGGCCCTTGTTTTAGGCCTAATTAGAGCTGCCTAAATCATGTATAAGTCCATCTTTTCATCGGTTTGTATTGCCACATGTATGCTTGCATAAGTGCCTTGCCATGCCTTGTTGCATCCTTAGCTTGCATGCTTAGGTTACCTTGCATCTTGCATGCATGCCTTGTTCTTTGACTTGGTGATAGGAATTGGGCCTTGATTTGTGTGTTTGGTTTGCATTTCATTTGACATGAAAGTTGCATACTTGATTCTTTGGGCCATCATGCATGGAAATGCGTGATTGGTGGTCCGAGAATCGAGACACATGCCCTTTTGAGTCACAAACATGATAAGGGACATAATTGGTGCATATATGCCTTGAATTGTATTGCCATGCTCTGCCTTGTCCTCTGTTGCTGTCAATTGCAGATTCTGCAGGAACATTCTGCCGACCTGTAGTGTCAAGTGTCGACCGGCAATCCTTTTTCTGCCGATAGCTTCACCAATGGCCGGTGGCCACATCCCACTGCCGGTGGCAATTCCATTCAGCCGGTGGTGTTCCCCGATGTCCAAGGATACAGTCCTGAGGTTTTGACAGCCTCCAGAGGAGTGAAGGAAGGAAAACAGAGGCAGCCTATGCATGGCGGTGCACTTCCGAGCAAGACCCGAGCACGCGCTGCGTCTGGCCCTCCTCCCAAGGCGGTTTATTGCCTTTCCTAATTTAATTAGTTTATTAATTAACTAGGCAATTTGTAATATTTAATTAGCTTGCGTAGTTAATTAATTTGTATTATTTATTTGGTCCCTCCGAGTGAAGGCAAATCTGTAATAAGTGTGGGTGAGTGTGTGAATGTCTTCTAACCCCCACTTCTTTCTTCCCTTTTATTTACCTGCATATGTTGGTAGATTAGGGCATGCTTAAATTAGCATACCTTATGCTATGCATGCGTGCATCCATACATTTGTCTCGCATGCACCGGGCTCGGTACATCACGCTAACTGCATTTGCATTTCAAATTCCAAACTGAATACATGTTAGTTGTGCATTTTCATATGTCATTCATAGATTAGCCGAGCCTATTCTAGTGACATTTTGTATGTGATGCATTAGGCATTTAACATGGACTTGGATCATGCATTGATTGCTAACATGTTCCTGTTTTTAGCTCGGAGTACTATGTAAATATTTATGCTTTAGCATCTCGCATGCGCGTGAATGTTGCCATGACAGTATGTTTGCCATGCGGCTAAATGCTTACGTGATATTACTGTTTGAATGCCCGTGGGTGAAGGTTGGATTGTTTGAGTTGGAAAACTCATTGAAATCCGTGTTTTAGCCTACTTGCGAGTAGCAAATTCTGAAGCGCTTTTCAAAACAAACGGACATGCAATGCTTGTTTCCAAATTAGGCAAACTAGTCTATACTTGTTTGCTGTGCGCATAACATAATAATTCTAGGCTAATAAATGGAATAAGAACACATAAAGTTTTCAAAATCGGATATCATGGTTAGTAGAGGCCAGTCTTCGGACCGAGCGAAAGGGGGTGCTCATAGCTGACCTTCCCCGATCGTACCCAAGCTCCCGAGCCGATACAACTCCGGTGATGACGGACATGTGGCCTTCGGCACCGAGTCAGGGTTTCCTAAATTCCCCCATAAAAAATATTTAGGTGGCGACTCTGTATCTGGCAAAGCAGTCCATGTTTGGCACTTCTTTTCAAAAAATCTATTTCTCAAAACGATTTGCCAGATTTGGACTCTTTGGTTCAAGATTAAGAACCGTGACACAAATCGAGTCCGAACTGTAGCGAAGGCCCCTCGCGGGACGCGTCTACAGCATGCTACTTTTAAATCTCAGATTTAACTTTCATTAGGAACAATCTGCTCCCTGAGGTCACGCCATGTGGAGAGGATACTTTGTATGGATTTCGAGATTAGTCGAGGTATGCACAAACTAACCTAGACACCCGGTCATCAAAAAAAGAAAATGTTAGCTATAGAGATGGAAAAAAATTCATCCAAATTAACTTTTCTTCCAATCTCAACCAAACTGAACCGATTACACCTCTACAGGTCCCTAACTAAGAATCACTCCACATTAATTTCAATTTATTTTCAATCATTAAGCATATAAATACCATATACATGATCACTTGCTTTGCCTTTCACGGCAAGCCCACAAAATTACAAACCACATGTCATAGGTTATAACAAATTCCAGCATTGTTCCTCCACATTAAAATTAACGTCAATGGTTGACAACGTTTTCAACGGTCCCTATTCTACAACCCAATGTGTCCAACTGGCCTATGTAGTTTAACCCATCACCACTCTATACATATATAGGTTCCAAACAAGCTATAGCACCAAAAATTAATCAAATTTAAGACAATCCAACATTCACTTTCTCACCATCTATGGCTTCTCAGTTTTCATCTCCCATTTTTGTTGTCTGTTTCACCATTTTGGCAATTTCTGTCACGGCAGAGGACATGCCCGGAATGCCTGGTATGCCAATGACCCCAGCCCCTAGCCCTTCTCAAGGCACCTTCACTTCTCTTCCATCGACCGTGGCTGGAGTCCTTGCTTTGGTTGTGTCATTTCTCATAATTAAGGAAAGAGTTTGAGCTTTCCCTTTTTCTGTGTATTTTTGTGTTTGTTTGTTCGTGTTCGTGTTTGTTCTTGTTTCTGGTCTATACGTGTCACTTTAGTCCTTAATAGTTCTTACTACTATGTAATCTCTATCCATTTGGTTGTGTATACTCATGTTTCGAAAGTTTAATATGTTTGATATTTTATAATAACTATAACTATTAATCTTTATTTACCTCCACTGTTTTTGTACTGTGATGTTTTTTAACTGCTGGTTCAAGTACATGAGATATGATCTACTTCAAAATTCAGTGCAACTCTGTTTTCCTCTGCCTCAAGAGCATGTAGCTCCTTTGCCACAACACACAAAAGTGTTCTTGTTTGCTATGCAGGACTATTTAGACCATGTTTATTTTCAAGGACATAACCTTGAGATTGGATTAATAAATCAAAAAAATACATAATCTTAACCAAAGAAAATTTGGGTTCAGATTCAGACTAATAGTCGGGAATATCGAATCCCAAGGGGCATGAGATGCAACATGGAGGGACAAAGGAGAGGTTCAAACTAATTGGCAAAATTACAAAATTGATAAGATTTTGTCAATAATCTCTCCAATAATCCCGAGCCAATCCAAACATGAGATAATACACAATCCAAAAGGATTGATAATCTCATGACTAATAGCCATAAAAAAGCTAATCCAATCTAATCTAGTCCAAACAAACATGACTTAAAGTCTCTATACTGTATGATATCCAATGTTAGGTGCAAAAATTCATTTATTGATGCCATCAATTTCCTTTGCAAACCACTCTCAATTTACCAATTTTAAGGGCATGCAAATCCAAACATTTAGGAATTTTCGACATACCGGGCTCAAACGTTAAAAAAAAAAATTTAAATAAATAAATAAATTGACAACATTAAAAAATAAATAAATTTATACTGCAGTGTACAAGTGTGTACAAAACAATTTTGTTTCATATACTTGTATATGTTGATTTCGAGATTACCAAGCTTAAAGATCAAATTTTTGCTAGAAAAAAAATGATTTCGAGATGGAAAATTACAGAAGAACAATCCAAGGAAGATACTGATAAGCTAATACGAATCTCTAACTAGAGTGAGTACTTGGCTTTCTTGTCAAATTCAAGAGGTATGAATAAGCAAATGAAGCATGTATTGCTGCCCCAGTAGGCAGCACATCCTCATCGATGGAAAAGTAAGGACTATGCGCAGGATATACCGCTCCAGTTTTCTCATTTCTTGTGCCAATCGAAAGGAATGATCCAGGAACCTTTTCTTGGTAAAACGCAAAATCTTCACTTCCCATGGAGCAAGGAGATAGTCTTACACCTTCTTCACCTACAATCATACTTGAGACACGTTGCACGTGTTCATATATTCTTTCATCATTTACAGTTGGAGGAATTGTGGGATGTTCATCTCCAGAGAAGTCAATCTCAGCTGAGCACCGATGTACAACCGCTTGCGCTTTTATAACCTGACACACATAATGATTTGTAAAAAGTCTTCATGATATTTGTTTTCAAAAACAACTACAAGAAGTTCAAGCTTAGTGCATTTTGCTAAAAAAACAAAACAAAACAAAACACTTTTGGCGATTAAAATAATATTAGTCGCACTATATATCTTTTGCAACTAAAAAATATTAGTCACAAAACTTAACACCATTGGTGACTAAAATGAAGGCATAGCCGCTAAAAGGTTCAGGCTAAGTACCCCACTTCTCGACAAAACTTGGGGAATGTCATCCTGACAACATATGGCACTACAACTAGTAAAATTTTGTCCCAAAATTCACAAATGGAGACTAAAAATGTTTTTCTCCAAATCCTAAAATTTCATTTTTGGCAGGGATTATAATTTGTTTATTTTTGGTGCAATCTGAATGTGTATGAGGTAGTTTAGTTAGTTAGTTAGTTACCTCTTCTATTCTTTCTCCAAGTGCATAGAAGCTTTTCTTGCTAAATGCTCGAAAAGTACCAGCTATTGAGGCCGAGTCTGGAATGACATTAAATGCATTACCCCCATGGATCATCGCCACAGAAACCACCTGAGAGTCTAGCGGGTCAGTCTCCCTAGAAACAATACTCTGCAAACTGATTACCGATGTTGAAACCGCCAAAATGGGATCAATCGAGGTCTCTGGACTCGCTGCGTGACCTCCTCTCCCTGTGATTGTGGCTTTAAAACTACCACAACCAGCTAGAAACTCTCCAGGTCGCGCTGCCACGGTACCAGCAGGATACCTATCTCCTACATGCAACCCAAGGATGGCTTCTACATTGTCAAGTACACCTTCCTGGATCATGTCTTTCGCACCTTGACCTCGTTCCTCAGCCGGTTGAAATATGAGAACCACAGTGCCCTGCATTAGACACACTTGAATTTATTAGATCATCAAATGGGGACTAAATTGGGCGCTTATAAACCGGGTTACCTGTAATTGGTCTCGAAGTTCTTGCAGTACTTTTGCAGCACCGAGGAGCATGGCGACATGAGCATCATGTCCGCAGGCGTGCATTTTTCCAGCTATTTCGCTCTTGTGCTCCCACTCTACCATTTCCTACATAAGTGATTCACAAAGAAAGACAATATATTGTAATCTGATAATGGCTAAAAATAATAATGAAGGTTAGTACTCCTAATAATTCGCAAGATCTTAGGGTGCATCTTTTCTTGCTCGATCTTAGGGGCAGTAGCGACTCCAAATTTTTTTTACAGTGGTGCTAGGGACCCCCAGCACCCCCAGTAGGCCAAAAACAATTTTTTTTTCCTTTATTTCCAATCACGCGATGCCACGTGGCACTGGGGGTCATTGGGGGTCACTGGGAGTGGGGTCTCAAGCTTTATTCTTTTTTTTTATAGATGGGGCATTACTTACATGTTTAAGTACTAAAAATTCTATAAAAATAATAATAATAATAATAATTTGAACTAAATAACATTTGATTTTGAATTTTTAAAAACAATTTGCATCTTTTCTTGCTCGATCTTATAGGCAGTGGCGACTCCAAATTTTTTTTTATAGATGGGGCATTACTTACAAGTTTAAGTACTAAAAATTCTATAAAAATAATAATAATAATAATAATTTGAACTAAATAACATTTGATTTTGAATTTTTAAAAACAATTTTTGAGTTTTTGTGGTTTGTTGTCTTTAGTTATTTTTTTATTTTTTTATTTTAGTCATTTTTTTAGTTGCACAAAATATACTAATTTTTTTGTATTTAGTGATTTTTTTAAAATAAAAATTTCACAAATATCTTACTTTTTAAATGTATCTCGGTTAAGTGAATTTAAAAAGTTTTAAAAAAAAATTTAAAAATTCACTAAAGGCAAAAGAAACACATAAAATACAAAATATAAAAACTATTTTTGAAAAATGTTAACCAAACAAAGTGATTTAAAACTTGGACAAATTATACTGTTAGTCCCTATACTTTGACTTATACTTTGTCATTTTAATCACTATAATTTTAATTGGCTCAATTTTGACCTTAAACTTTTTTATTTGGTTTCAAATTAGTCCAATTGATTTTAATTGTTAATATTTTTTTATGAAAAATATGCGCATAAGCCGTATGTGTCATGCTTTTAGAGGTAAAATTATAAATTTGATTAATTCAATAGCTTAACCTCAACTAAGTGCCTGTTTGGCAGAGCTTAATTACAGCTTATTTTAGCTTTCAGCTTAATTTAAGTTATTTTGATGTGTTTAGTTTAGGTTATACCTTATAGCTTATACCTTTTTGGAAGTCAGAAATCAATTTATTCTTTGAGTGGGGCAGGAGATGCTTTAAGAATAAGCTGGAAATCAGCTTAAGTTGAAAGTTATAAGCTATAATCTGTTAAGGCATACGCTATAAGCACTTTCCCACAGCTCTACCAAACAGGGCCTAACTCAGTGATTATTTTGTCAAAAACTCTAATAGCATTATTAATTGAATCAAACTGAGATAAAATTTAAAATGAATGATAAATATTGAGCCAATTAAAATTATAGAAATTAAAATAACACAAGTAACAAAATGTAAGTACTAGTATAATTTGCAATTTAAACTTGTCAAATAACAAGTCTCTAAAGAGTGTACATTCCTATTTAATGGGATCCTTTTAAAATTTTAAAAGAATCAAACTGCATTAAATAAAATATTAATAACATAAATAAATAAATAAAAATTGGGAGTTTTTGTTTGCTTGATGGGGCATGAGACTCATCCATCAGCATTGCAATGCCGTGGCCCCCGCTTATGGGTGTGTTTGATGTAACAATTATAATATGCATCTATCGAGAGTTGGGAAGTGGGAATTAGTTTTATTTTTATTATTTTTTATTAAAGAAAAAAAGATGATTTGAAGTGTTATTACTGTATCCTTAGGCTTAGGTCTTTGGATAACTCCCCGGTTACCGGCATGATTTGACCCAACTTATAGAAAAAGACCCACCACTGAAATACCTGGAACTCAACCACACGCTACAGACGAACTCAGGTTTCAATCGAAATACAGAATAAGATCTCCATACAGAACCAACTGCAAAGTAGCAAATTCACCCCCTAGAAGTCAAACTTGAGTCACGCGTGGGAAAAGAGATGTCTTCTCTCCTAAACAATCACCCTCGGTGGTAGTGGGAATTAGTTTGGTTCGGTAAAATTGAATTAGAAATATTTTAAAATTATTCCAATATCATACCTATTGTTATAATAAAATAACTATAATATTCAAATACATAGAACTGACAAACAATATAAAATAATAAAAAAGTTGAAAAGTCTAATAAAATACACATTACAAAACGAAATGCTTTCCTATTTTTTTTTTGTTTTTTTGGAAGTAAATATATTTTTGGTCTAATCAATCGAGCTTATTGAAAGAAGAATAGAAAAAATCTAAGGGGCATATATGATTTTTAAATAAAAAATTGAAAAACATTTTAAAATTTTGGATTAAATCATGATCTTTTTGTCATCGAAAAATCACTGAAACTGATTATAGAATTGGTCATTGAACACTCACAATCCGTGAGGCCCTTGGGTTTAGTGGACCTACTGGCTAAGTAGAACCAGCAACTGCCATTAATAGACCTTCGATGTTAGATATGTGACAATCAATTATCAATCAACTACACATACTGTACACAGATTGGAATAAAAAAGAAAAAGCCTATATTTTATAAGCTGCATTATTGGGTAGTAGTAATGAAATATAAAATTGGCCAGTGTGTGCACATGGGCCACCATCCAAAATTTAAAATTTAGCTTGATAAGTAATGATATCGCTGTCAAAATGTGTCCAATTTGTATTAAAAGTGTGTGATATGCGACTCATTAAAAAAACAAACAGCAAATTCTATTAAAAGTTCATATTGTCATTAAAATACATTAAATGATGAGAAAAATTTCAATCTCAATCCACCTTTTACTTATTTTAAAATTTTAGTCTAGAAAGGACCCCAAAAAATAAATAAATAATAAATAGTTGGTTTTTGGCTCTTCCCCCCCTTTTGTCTTTGGTAAAGTTTTTGGGATTTTTTTTATTTTTTTTTTCTTTTAAGACTCGTTTACACAAAGAATTTTTAAAAAAAAATTGATAAAATTTTTGAATACAAAAAAATATTCACAAAAATTAATTTTTTTTAACTGGAAGCTAAACACCCTCCAATCAACTGTGAGTTTATGACTCATATGTGAAGTAATGAGTTTAAATTTTATGGTTGACTTAGGCCTCTTTTGGGTATCACGTTAAAAGTTTTTTTTTGGCTTTTAATCTATTTTACGTCACATTATTTTTTTACTTTTTTATATATTTTTTTTTAAAAAAATCAAAAAAATAACTTTTAACCTATTTCCCAAGATAATCTTTAATTGTTTAAGCCTATTTGTTTGACAGAGATAAGAGGATGTGATTCGACTAACAATGACGATGAACTCACAAGCATCATGTTTATTTTGAAAATCTTCGATAAGATTAATAGTCCAATGGGACTATGAAAACCCTCTAAGGAGGGTGACTCTATTTACACACCACATTTGGTCTTAAAGCACACCATTATTTAGTTCACACCTTTAATAATTTGAAAAAACATACAGCTTGTTTGGTTCTGATTTTCATAAAACAGTTTTTCAGAAAATTTTACCATTTTATTTTCCGTATTTTAATATTTTCAATGAATTTTTTTAATGTTTTAAACAAATTTCTTTTTTTTAATTTTTAGACACACCTAATATAAATATACTTAAAAAGTATAATATTTATGAAAAAAAATATTAAAAAAATGCACTAAATACCAAAAAATACAAAAAAAAATGAAAATTCAATACAATTTTCGTATTTTTGTATATTTTTTAATTTTTAAAAATATTTTTCACAAATATTATATTTTTTAAGTGTGTTTAGGTGTGTCTAAAAAAAAATTTTAAAAAAAATTGCTAAAATTTACACAAAGAATTTTTTTTAAAATTTTTGAATACAAAAAAATATTCACAAAAATTATAATTTTTTTTAACTGGAAGCTAAACACCCTCCAATCAACTTAGTGAGTTTATGACTCATGTGTGAAGTAATGAGTTATGGTTGACTTAGGCCTCTTTTGGGTATCACGTTAAAAGTTATTTTTTGGCTTTTAATCTATTTTACGTCACATTATTTTTTTACTTTTTTATATATTTTTTTTAAAAAAATCAAAAAAATAACTTTTAACCTATTTCCCAAGATAATCTTTAATTGCTTAAGCCTATTTGTTTGACAGAGATAAGAGGATGTGATTCGACTAACAATGATGATGAACTCACAAGCATCATGTTTATTTTGAAAATCTTCGATGAGATTAATAGTGCAATGGCACTATGAAAACCCTCTAAGGAGGGCTTGGGGATGTTGCTATATGAGTAAATCACAACAACACCCTATGGTGCTTTAGTAGAGGTTTTTTCTAAGTCTTTTTTGATAATTTAAATTGTTCATATTGTAGAGTTTGTCAAGTATATTATCTATGTAAAAAAATCAAGTTAATCAAAAATCTATAATCCCATGATACTAATTATTTGTAAAAAATTATAAAGATGAAGTTAACCGTTTATTTTTTTAAAAATAAATATGTTTTGTTACGGAGTTATAGATGTCTAATTAATTTAATTTTTTTGTATAGATAATTTAATTAATAAACTCTACAATATGAATGGTTTAGATTATCGAAAAAAAAAACTTGAGAAAGATCACCACGGGAGCACCACGGGATGCTTTTGTGAGTTGCTCACAACATCCCCAATTCCTCTAAGGAGAGTAATAGCAATCTCATAGAGGAGGTGATATTTAAATCCAATCACGTGCGATTAGAACCGAAATGGTTATTTTGTCCCTTATTTTACAAAATTAATTTAATATAAAAATAATTTTTAATATTAAGATATAATAGTATAATAATATATTTATATCAAAAAAAAATATCAACATAAAATAATATAGTACAAAAATATAATTTTTAATATTAATATATATATATATATATATTGTCATGAATATTTATGAAATTTCATATAATTAATTATATCATAAAATGACAGAACAAAAAAAAAAAATTTACACAATTCTTGTAACACACTGACACACTTCAAAAGCGTGTGACCAAATTTAGGCCTAATTTGGAAAGTTTAATAAATAAGTGTACTTTTTGACTTTTTATGAAATATGGGTTAGATTTGGGTTGGGTTTAAAGTGATGTGTTAGAGAGATAATATGACTTAAATAAGATGATGTGATTTAAATAAGATAATGATTTTTTGACTTTTTATCTTTTTTCGATCATGTCAAACTTGGCCTTCCACTGATTTAAGTGCTGAAATGGAAAACAATAATGGAAAGAGACAATTAATTGGTGAAATGGAAAACAATAATGGAAAGAGACAATTAATTGGTGGGGAATCCCATGTACCCTTATTATCAGACAAGAGTGGTGCTAAATCTTTAATACATTTTGGAATATATTAATAGAGTATCAAGTGATACTATTTTTACACTATTTACAAATATATGTTTTTTAAAGTTCTCCAAATACTTATTAATAATATGGTTCATATTCAACTACAACATATATATTTGTGATTGGTGAAAGGATAGTGCTACTTAGTATCTTTCACCAATCGTAATAATAGAACATATCACATAAATATACCATATCCATATATAAAAATTACTCTTTATTTTGACTTCTTATGATAGAGAAAGAGAGAAAATAAAGAGAGATAGAGAGAAGAGAGAAGAGAGATGAGGAGTGTGAATCCCCTTTCACATGAGTGTTCTTAGGGTACAATCATGTAGTACTTCAAAGTGTTATGATTGGTAAAAAATGTAAGATTTACGATTTTGTATTGAGTAATTAAGGAACATGAAAAGATATAGCATATGATGATTAGTGATAAATATAAACATGTGATGCTTTAAAAATATTAAATAATATTTCCTTCACATAATTCCTTTCATATCATTAAAAATAAATTGAGAGTACTCAATTAAACCTCGCAAACATTTTTTATCAAACAATTGATGAAATGGAGGAATCTTATGGCTATCGCAAAACGAGAGTTTTTACATTTGATCACATTATTCATATCAGTCGGTACCAATCACGAAAAATTATTGGTTGATGTTAGACATCACATGATCATATCTTATATCAATCACAATTTATTACGTTCTTCATATTTTTTAATCACTTAACACAAATTCATGAATCTCACCTCCTTCAAATATCATAGCACCATTTAAATGTCAAGTAATAATATTCCAAAACTGACCAATGACTTCTCCTTACCCTCTGATAGGTCCAACTTAATAAAAACAGTTAATATTCTACTTATAGCACTTGGAAATTTCTTACTCACCACCAAACAAAAAAACACATATATATTTGTTAATTCCCACCACCCAAAAAAATAAATAAAAAATTTAATATAATATCAGTCTTTGAAAAAAAGGGGTTATTCGAGTGTTGAGGTGAAATAAGTTCTCATATGCTTTTCTGAAAATGTAAATAATAACGAATTTGAATATAATGAAACCATTGGCTCCCCATTTGAAATATTCGATCAATAATTAATTGAGATATATGAAACGAGACACTCTATATATTTAGGAAGTCATGATAGAGACCCCCCTCCAATCACCACCCCCATACACACGTGACGGGTGGTGATTGAAGGAGCAGAAAAAAAAAGAAAAAGAAAAAGAAAAAGAAAATGTAACCAATGAGAGAGAGAGGGGGTGGGAGAAAAGGGGGCTTGAAACATTTTTATAAGTCAATAAGAATAAAATATTTTTTGAGAAAATTTGAAAAAAAATTTTCTTACAATTTTAAATTTTTTATACAAAGAATTTTTAAAGTTATTAAATCGTAAAAATTAAAGCATTCCCTATAACTTTCTCGAAAAAAGAAGAAAAAAAAAATTAAGACATTTACGTTAATTGCCTAATTACAAGAGATCATACAACACAGCAAATCATCTAAATTTAGAATATAAAATCGTCTCTAACATCAAGAAAGTCAACTGTGACATAAATTAATCAAATAATACTCTATCAGTATGTTTTATTGGATGGATTAGAGTATGAAATTAGGATTATTAATTCGTGGGCCTAATTATCCTATGTTTGTTTTAACATTTTGGTTTAGGATTATTAATCCAATGGATAATTAATCCAACAAATTTGTAAGATTATTAGTAATGGAGTAGAGATAGGATTATTAATCCAATAGATATTAATCTAATTGAATAGTGAATACTACACTAATTTAATAGAATTATTAATACTTCACTATTAGTCTTGTGAATCAAACATGACTTATGTATTAATTGATATATTAATTAATATACTAATAAATAATGTGACATAATTTTAAAAATTTTAAATATTTATAATTTTTATAATAGGTGAGATCGATAATAATATTATAATATATATTACTATATTAATTAATATATTAATTAGTGCACGTAACAGTATCAAAATTAATCAATACACACTCGTTACCCCCCTCCCAAAATTTTTTTTTTTGCCAACTTAACTCTAAAAGACTTTTCGAATGGTTAATTAAGCCTATGTTTGGCAAGTGGGTTTGCAGGTTTTTTTGGTTATTTTAGCCACAAAAAATAAAATAGGCTATTTTAGCCATAACAAACAAAACATCACATCCAACTCATAATCATTACATTCTTCTCTCACAAAAAAACTCAAAAAAGTCAAAAAGCCAAAAAGCTCTTCCCAAACCAAGCTTTTAAGCCCAGGTTAAAATAGCCAAAAAAAAATAAAAAGCTAAAAAGTCAACACACTTTCCAAACGGAAGCTAAGATACCATATTCATTTTAGAAAGTGGAAAGTACTCTGAAATTTAAATCTAATGAAACCTTTTGACTCCTTGGATTGTATTTGGTTAGCAAATTTAAGAAGGTATTTAAAAAAGAAAAAAGAAAAGATAGGTGAAATAAGAATAAAATATATTTACATTTCACTTAATTTTATACATATTTCTTTTTATTTCCAAATCATTTTCTAAATCCCCTAATCAAACATAATATTAAGCTATTTCCCAAAAAAAAAAAAGGGGGGACAATTAAAAGTAATAGAACTAACCTGAATGGGCAAAGCATCCATATCTGCTCTCAAAGCAACAAAGGGTTTAGAACCAGACCCAATGGTGGCTACAACCCCGGTTTGAGCCACCGGCCACCGGTACTTGACACCGAGCTGGTCCAGCTCACGCCTAACGAGCGCGCTCGTGGCAAACTCTTCATAAGCAAGTTCTGGGTTCTTGTGAATCTCTCTCCTTATGTTCTTCACCCAATTCACTGTATTGGGTTCATTGGCCAGCTTGAGTATGTGGTCTATAAATGAAGGATTTTGATAAGTTGTTGCAGAGGAATTCATGCAGTTTTCATGGAAACATGGTTGAAGATGGCTTAGGCAATTGCAGAGGGGTACAATTGCAATGGTTATTAGGAGGATAGAAAGTTTGAGATGGTCCATTTTGGTTTTTCAATACTAGGAAGGAGAGATTAGGAGGCTTCCTTCTATAGTTGTCTCTTTATATAGAATTTACTATTTTAATTGATTTTTTATTTTTTTATAAAAAAAATATTGTGATAATTTATAATCACTTTTTAATTTATTTTTATTTTTTCAAAAAACCTCCCTTCCCAAACTTAAGTTTGTGTAGTTATTTATTTGGAAAATGATAGATGGATTAATTATGCTGTCAATCCCTATAATTTGTTTCTTAAATCAATTTTTCTTTGCAGTTTGAATTGTATTAATTTTATACTTGAATTTTTCATATTGTGTAAATTTAAACTAATTGATAATGTTTAGAATTAAAATTAAAAGACAAAATAAATCCATTCACTTCCTCAATGTGATTGAGGGGTGGGTGGCGTCCAATTTAAAATAGTTCATTCCTTTTTTATTGAATTATTTTGTTCTTAATTTATATCTAATTTCTTAAAAGATATTATTAATTGAAATAAATCAAAATATTGTAAAAAATTAAAAGACAAGATTAATATAATTAGAATTATAATTAAGATCAAATTAATATAACAAATAAATTATAGAGATCACAAGTATAATTTGATGTTTTAAATAGTTTTTCACACTACAAAGGATATATGTATCCATAGAATTTATTATATTTAGGATTTCCATCATTTTTTTTAATATGATATTTACGATCTTTTTTAATATCACAAAATAAAAGAATAATTACAAAGTGGATCCCAATTAATTGAGAGAAAAAAAATTATTAGTTTAATTAAAATTTGGAAATTATTAATTGTGATTCTTTTTTTTATTATGTATATATATATAATTGTACTTCAAATTTTATCATTTAATGTGTATCATAACATTATTATGTTTAAATTTTTATATTAAATGTAAAATATAGAGTGTCTGTAATAAATTAAGGGAAAATTACCCCACCAAAAAAAATTCAAATATTTGACCCTTGTAATATCTTTTATATATATATATTTAATTTATCAATTTTACTTAATAAAAATATAGAGATGGTTAAAATTGAAAACAAATCAAAACATTAAAATTTAAAATTGTCTTGATTTTTTTTTAAATATAATTTTCCCTAAAATTAAAGTGCAGATAACACTTTCCTAAAATTTATAGTGAAAATTACTTAATAGTGGAATAGAGAAAAAAAATTACAAAGACATGGAGAGAGCAAGTGATTTGTGATGGGGTGCAAGTTATGTAATTTCTTTTTTTCTATTCAACTGATACATGATTCCCTCAAATTTTTATATAGAGTTTAATCTATACATTGAAGTAAAAAATACTAATAAAATATATCTATATATAGGATTCCTATAGTTATTATTTTGTTTATGAGTTATGATATAAATCCTGAGATATATATCCAAAATTTATAATATATGTGATTGAAGTTTATTATATATATAGCTCTCACTATATATTCATTCAATCTTTACCATTGATTTATTTTCTGAATAAATTCTAAATACCCAAAAATATATATCCAAAATTTATAATATATGCGATTGAAATTTATTATACATATAACTTTCACTATGTATTCATTCAATCTCCACCACTAATCTACTTTATAAATTTTGGAAATTCGTTTTTTAGACTAATGCACTAAAAATGTATTTTTTTTAATATATATATAATTATTTAGGTCACATTAATCAATATTTATTAATATTTTTTCTCTACTTTTTTACTAATTTATTTTACTCTTTTATATATTTTTTTTATAAAAAATAAAAAAAATATACTTATTTAAAACAACCAGACTATTACTAAATCCTTTCTTTGCACAAGAGAGTTAAGACAAGAAGATTAGGTATATCGGTACAACTTGACCCATGGGGAAAATTAAACACGTGCTAGAAATATGATTTGATGTGAGTGGACACCCACTCTTCACTTTTTTTAAAATCCATACATATCCATAATTTTTTTTCTATCATTCCAGTTGCCACTTGAAAAGTCTAAAGGAATATTTGATTTAATGAAAAAATAGACCAAGAATGAAAAAATTATGGGTACTTTGACTTGAATATAATTTGGTTTCTATTAATTTAGGATTATTTTAAGAAAATGGTTAAAAATTAACTTTTTGATTTTTTTAAAAAAACATGTAAAAGTTATGAGAGATAATGAGATTCAGAATGAATTAAAATTAAAAAATAATTTTTTACTATCTTCCCAAAATAGCCCTTAATTTGAATAAATTAGTTCACAAGTTTCTTCGTCCAAATTATTGTCAATTTTTTTCCATGTATTTACTTCAATAGATTGACACTTGTTACAAAATTATTTTTAATATTCAATTTAAAGAAAAAATTAAAATGAAACTGGATTTAAAATGTAATAATCAAATTATTTAATTTGAAATAATTGGAATCAAAGTGAAAATTGAGTCAAACTACTAAGATGAAAATTGTACTGTATCTTAAAATTATTTTTTAATCTTTCAATGAAATGATTATTCTTTTAAATTGATGAATAATAATTATTCAATTAAAATATGCATTTTTTTTTTCTTTTTCCCAAACTATTATGAGAAAATGTATTCTCACAAAATAACTGTTATATTCCAACTTTTATTTTAGTAAATGAAATACTTAAAACAATTTTCTACCCGAATCTCATAATTTGAAATTTCTAAGATGCGGTAGTTTTCTTGTAAAACATTTCTTTCCATTGAATATTCCCAATCTCTCCCAACCGCCCCATGACGGTAGTCAATTTTATTTTTATTTTTACTTTATCTTTTAGTAATTAAGCATGTGGAATTTGATGTCATAGTTTTGTTTATTCTATAGATGGTGCAGAGAAATCAAATAAGAATTTATTTATTTATCAATTTTGCTATCAAGTGCTTTTGGGTACCCCAAAAAAATTAATAATTACATTATAAGTACTCTTATATTTTTAATATATTTTTACTTTCATTATTTCATTTTCAATTGTGACAATCAATTCTATATATTTTAATTAGTCAAGTTGTAATATCATTATTTCGTCTATCTATTGTTAATAAGACTAATAAAATTTGACGTGTGAACTACACGTGACATTTTTTTAAATTTCGTTTGACATTAGCTAATATAGTCAACTTTTTGTATTGAGACTTTTTTAGCCTAATTTTTTTAACTTCGTTTGATTTGAATTTTTTGACTTTTTTGACTTTTATAACAAAAAAATATAATGATTATGAATTGAATATGATATTTTGTCTTATTAATTTATGGGTAAATTACACTGACACCCCCTGAGGTTTAAGTTTATTACAATTTCTCCCTCACATTTTGGAAATTACATCTCCTCCCTGAAGTTTAAAGTTTCATTACAGATTCCCCTTTTAGCAATTTATTTTTTATAAATACCAAATTTGCCCTCATTGAGTAAATTACATTGACACCTCTTACATTTTAGAAATTACAATCCCCTCTCTAAGGTTTAAAGTAGCATTACCAATTGCCTCCTCGGTTAGTATTAGTTGAAAAAAAAAGTTCATTGGAAAAAAAATTAATTGAAAAAAAGTTTTGCTAGTAAAATTTTTAAATTTCTGTTTAAAAACTAATGTAAGCTTATTTTTTGAATTTACGTTTTTTCCTCAAATTTACAAACTGAGACAACCATTTATAAACCAAAAAAATTATCAAACAAGTTTTTATGACATTTTTTTAAAATTTTTGTAAATATAAATTGAAAATTGAAAACTGAAAATGAAATGGTTACCAAACAGGCTTCAAATGGTAAAAATGTCGTAAAATTTATAAATAGTTAAATAAGTTACCAACGTAAGAAATTACTTATCAAAAAATTCTTAGGCTATGTATGGTTTGATTTTTAGAAATTTTTTTTAAAAAATTAAAAATTAAAAATTAAAAAATATTTTGGTTAAGAAATAAAAAATAAAAAATAATTATCATTTTTATATAATTTTTATCTTTCGAGTGGTTAGAAATAATTTTTTACAAATTAAATTGAAACAGCCATATGTATGTATATAACCTACCCAAAAGTTAAAATGATAATTATTTTTTACCCTTAAATGATAATTATTTTTTATTTTTTATTTCTTACCCAAATTAATTTTTAAATTTTTTTAAAAAAATTCTAAAAATCAAACCATACATAACCTAAGAATATTTTAATAAGTCATTTCTTACATTAGTAATTTATTTAATTATTTATTTATTTTACCACATTTTTACCATCTGAAGCCTGTATAGTAACCATTTAGTTTTTAATTTTTAATTTATATTTACAAAAATTTTAAAAAATGTCATAAAAACTTGTTTGATAGTTTTTTTACTTTATAAATGGTTGTCTCAGTTTGTAAATTTGAGAAAAAAACGTAAATTCAAAAAATGAGTTTATGTTGATTTTTAAAAAAAAAATTAAAAATTTTACTAACAAAATTTTTTTTCAATTAATTTTTTTTTCAATTAATTTTTTTTCCAATTAATTTTTTTTTAATGAATTTTTTTTCCAACTAATACTAACCGAGGGGGTAATTGGTAATGCTACTTTAAACCTTGAGGAGAGGATTGTAATTTTTAAAATGTGAGGGGTGTCAATGTAATTTACCTAATGAGGGAAAAATTGGTATTTAAAAAAAATAAATTGCTGAAGGAGGAAATCTGTAATAAAACTTTAAACCTCAGGGGAGAGATGTAATGTGCAAAAGGTGAGGGGAAGAATTGTAATAAACCTAAATCTCAGGGGGTATTAATGTAATTTACCCTTAATTTATTTAGCTTATTTTGTTATTTTGTACTTTTTTTTAACTCCAAAATTATAGCTAAACCAAGGCTTAATTAAGGGTAATTTACCCTTATTTTGTAATTTACCCTTAATCTTCTTAGCGTACCTCAAAATCTTATTATAGTTTTTACACTTTTAATAAAATCTTACTTTACTCCTTCACTTTTAATTTTCATAAAGTTCATTAATGGTAAATGAATAAAAAAATAACAGTCTATATTTAAATCGTAAAGTGTTAACTTTCACAATAAAAG